TCTGCTCTATCTCCCGTATGAATTGGCAGTCATTTGGACTTAATCTAAATTAGTTAATTAGAAATTACGAAAAGTAAAAGACATAGTCATCTTTTTCATTTTTCTTCTTTGGGGTAATTATGATAATTATAAACCTATTCACTGGAAATTGATTAGAACTAATTAATGTTAATGAATTTTAGAAAAAAATTTACATCAGTAGATATCTAAGAGTCACACTCTATCTACCTGCGTAATACTGATTTTCTCCGGTGAAAAACGACTTAAATATGCTCAAAATATCTGAAAAGTTTTAGGCGATTATCAGAATTACCCCATGTGACTCTGTCGATCTTTTATTTTTTTCACCAAAATGATTCTCAATCTGTGAGCTATCTTTTGACTACTTTTAATAAAGAATACCACTACGGTTATACTTCGGAGATAATCACGATTATTTTTAAAGGGGGTGACACAATAAAAGACTCGGATCTTCTATTCTGTCTGCAGGAATAAAGTTCTTAGTGATATTCTATTGTATCCCTGAAAGAAAGCTGTTTTTGTTAGACTTAGACATTTTGTCATCTCATCACATGTGTGCCCTTTCTCTCTTGTCCATGCGTTTCGGAGGAGGAGGAGGAGGAGGAGGAGGAGAGAATTTGCTTTCAATAGAAAATATCTATTATTGTGCGAGATTTATGATTAAAAAAAGTGAAAAATAGGCATGGTCTTTTATTTTGACTTTTACAAGGTGAGTTCAAGGAGAGTCTTCTATTTAGGGGGTCTTTCATTGTGGGAGGGTCTTATAATGCGTATCCACCTCTTTAATCGAGATTACTTTATTCGCCTCTATTGAGAAAAGGGCTATGATAGCGGTGCTTGTATATGACTGCTCAACTGCAATAACTAATCAGCCTAAAGTCTGTTTTGCCCACTACAGAATTTTTCTGGCATTACTATATCCTGTTACAGATCGACAAATAATTAATTAATAATAATTTTATTATAATAACTTTTTGTGTTAACCTCTTGAATGCCGTAAGGCATCTATAGATGACATGATGGAATTTCATATGTTGCATACGCTTTTTCGTTCTATCGATTTAACGAAAAAAACTGCCAGAGGAACACCTGTCACGAAAACAACAGAACACAAAGAGAGATATTTAATCGTTTTTTTACATATGCATGCCTTTGGACGCGTAAGAGGAAAAATAACGGCATTCAAGAAATTAAAAATGACTATGCAGAGTTACATGAATAAAACGAAGGCAAAAAGATCTTGGTGGTCTGAGAAAGAAACAAACTTGCTGTTAAATTTGTTAAAAGATGAAATGGTATCGAATGAAACAGTGGGTCATTGAAATTGTGTACAAGAACGTACAAGAAGGTTTATTAGCAGCCGATGTCAACAAATCTATTGATTAGATTAACATATTCACTGCCGTATACGTCGAATGACGTATTCAAGTCATATATTTCAGCATATGTGGCAGTGAATGTGTTAAAGAGCGTTACTGTATTCATGTTAACTTTGTCAAAACAAAAATGAGTTCTCTCCTGTGCGCTGAGTGTTTATAGTTATGGCTGTCGTGAGTTAAGTGCGGTCACACACATTTCTGTGCAACGTGTTTAAATATTGTTAATCATGATCCAAAGTAATTTCGGTTACACTGGAAAATGTTTAATCGTGATTATTTGCGTAGTGTAACCGTAGTGTACGTTTAGTTTTAGCTGAGATATGTGAGATTCAATCTCACAGAACAGAAAAGATCAGTGTGTGTAATAACATTATTTTGATTTATTTCCATAAAAAATTGAAATAAACCGTTAATTCATTTATATATTTCAAGTGAGTTAGTCTTCAGCTTCAAATTATTCCTAAGAAAAACAATTAGAACTCATTCCGTCTCTAGAAAAAAATTCGTTTTTCAACGGCAGAGGACATCAAAAACCTTGGCAGTCGACAATGTAACTGTTATATCGCGATAATAAAAGTAGTTAAAGAGCTGCTGCCCTTACTGGTAGTGGGTAAACGTTAGACAAATAAAATAAAAAAGAACTCAAAAAGATCTGTTCAGTAGAAAAAAAGTTACTTCATGTTTACTTCTCGAATATCAACGGTACAATACTAGCACGAACCACACAGCTATATGAGAGCTTCACATTCGAATATTTGAGTATACTACGACGCAATTCTGTCACAGAACGAAGCAAAAATTATTTAGAAAAAAAACGCTCATTAAAATATGCAGTATGTACGTAGTCTATTGTTCGCGCTATTGAATATTTGATCTCTTTTTTGCCCTCGTCTGAGCCTAAAATAGGGACGAAACAACGAAGAAAGAAAAGAAGTGAAATGTCGATGACGTTATTCGTACCTTGCATATGTTCTTTTGCTCTCTATCTCTCTCTATTTAAAATAAAAAGAGAAACAACTCAACGAGAAATAAAAGGTAAAGCCACGCGATTCAGTCTTATTCCAATAAATTCAATTACAATTCAGTGAAAATGTGAGCTTAGGTTTTAGTATCATCATCGATGCCATTTCTAAACGTCCAAATAGTGGAAAAGCGGGCTTTTTTTAATTTTAACTGTATTGTCTTTTTTTTACTAGTCACGTCGATTTTTATGACACACGAGAGAAACATATTCACATAGCAGTACAAAATAAACTAATTTTTTAACAACAACATAAAAAAATGGCAGAAACCTTTATTGTACGCATTGTCTTTTGAAATTATACATTTTCACCGACTGTATATCTGTTAAGGTCGCCACCATCTATTCACAGTTAAACAAGACAAGAGCTTCTTTGGATGAGTCATCGCATCGTGAAGATATTTTCACTAAAAAACGAAGTACAGCACTGTTTATAAATACGATTTTTCAAAATTCTTGAAAAACAACCCAAAAGTCCAAAAAGCAGACGAGTTGGCAACTCTGAATATTATCTACTATACTATACAAAAAAAAAATAAAGTTTTTTTCTCATCTTTTCGAACAAAAGAATTAATTTAAGTGATTACAACAGATTGAACCTCAAAGCATCTCGAAGTAATTGAGGTACGTGCAATACTCTTTTATTTGCGAATAAAAGTCCTTTTCTACTCTGTCAACTATCTGTCAATAAACAAAAGAAACAAAAGAAATTTTATTTATTAACATTTTAAAAATTTCTTTGTCAAGGTCCATTGTGAAAAAATTCTTTCTAGAGACAGTTTACAGGTCTCTCTAAAAAAAAAACTGAAACAAATATATTCACTTCATTGTTAAAAATCTAACGTCTATTTTTATCTGCTCATCAAGGATTTCCGCTGCAGTATTTATACGTGTAAGTAAAGATTGAATGTTGATATAAGAATAAAACAGCTATTTTTCAAGTGTCCACACTCTAGCAATTAGCTTTTAACATTTTTTTTTATGGTTTTTAGAACTGACAAGTATGAATACTGTTCCAAAAGACTTTCTATGTCCTATTACACGTGAATTAATGATAAATCCTGTGTTACTTATCGAAGATGGACGTAGTTATGAAAAATCTGCATTAGAAAAATGGTTACAAGCACATAATACATCACCTATGACAAATTGTTTGCTAAAAGATCGTCGATTTGTTTTAAATTATAATTTAAAAAGTGCTATTGAAGATTATCAATTAAAACAAGATAAAATCAATTCGTTGACTCGATTTCGTCAATTTAATATTAAATCTGGACGATTAAATCAAGATTTTGAACGGTATTATAAATTAAAAATCCGTATTTCGCTTTTAGGCGGTTCTAATGTTGGTAAAACAACAATATCAAAATCAATTGAGTTTGGTGAACATCATCAAACATCCACGGCTACAGTCGGACCAGATTTAATTTATTTTTATCTGGATCAATTATTTGAAGATGAATATGTTGTTGTTGTTCAATTACAAGATATTCCGGGAATGGAACGATATGAAGCTATATGCGACAACCATTTTAGACATTGTCATGGAGCAATACTCATTTCAGACATTACAGATTTAGATAGTTTAGAACGTTTACAATTGTATTGGTAAATTCATAATAAAACATCTAAGATGTTAATTATATATTATTTTCAACTGCCTTATTTAACTTTCTATTCAGGTATAAATCATTACAACAAAAAGGTATGGACAATGTTGAAACAATATTAGTTTGTAACAAAATTGATTTGATGAATCAATGTGATAAATATTATCGACGGACATATATTCAACGTGCAAAATATTTTGCATCTGAATATGATATACCAATATTTCACTGTAGTGGTTTAACGGGTGAAAATATTCAAATAATGTTTAAACAATTGATTATGAGAATATTAAATAATTCGATTTTATTACAACAGTTAAAACAAAGTGCTATAAGACCAGCGGAAACGATAAGAACATCGTCTGTATCAACAACAGATTCAATACATTTAATAGATAGATCGGATTCCAGAAATTCAAACGATAACGAAGCAAAATCAAATTGTTGCTAATGTGGGGCGAGTGTTTTACTTTTGTATTTTATGCACGTTTGGTTGTAAATAAAACTTTGTAGTTGTTATAATTTGACATTTGAGCCTTATTTCTATGAAGTCACTATTGCTTAGTCTAATGTTGTATACACATGCAAAGAAAACGAGCGAAGGTAAATGTATTATGTTCTCAATTTCTTTTCTAGCTTCTATTTACGATAAAAAAATTATACAACTAGCGCTCTGGATGTAAAATGTATTAGTGCATTGAAATTTGACTCAATTTATATTGATTAAAAGTAATGTAATACATAATATATGGAATGTTTTGGAACATTTTTTTCTCAGCAATGGGAATGCTGTTGTTTCATTGTATGGATTGCATCGTGAGATTGTTCTGAAAGTGTGAAGTATAGTTTTTATTTCTATTAGGATGAAGAGCGTATGTATTCCGAGCGACATTTCTTCATGTCTGTTTTGTTCACAAACTTTTACGGATGATTTTTCAGAATGTCAATCCAAATAAATCCGATTCTAGAAAACGCGCTCACACGATCGGTGTAAGCGATGGTGATTCTAATGACGATCAAGCAAATTCAAAAAGTTTGTATATTGATTTTAGATGTTGGCTCTAAAAAAAGACACCTTTGTACTCTTCTAAAAAGAAAAGCTTTTAACGGGAAGATTAGTTTGTCTAGACCTCATCACAGAAACCTTAAAAAGCGTAAAATCCCAGTCGTCATGTCGTGTACCACTAGCAAGGTGAGAAGCGACTGAGCTTTTAATTGAGATTTTAGCAGCTATGCTTTTTACAACACTAATAGTTTCTTCGTTTTTGCCCTCAGTTACTGTTGTGCATCTAGTTGCATTCTATGCACCACTTTATTCTTTGTGTTTCAGAATTGTTTTCCAATGATTATGACGAATCTCTGACTGGCGGTGCAGTCGACCGTAATTGGTTAGCAATATTGACCGAACGATTACGGGAAACCGAATTGTTAAAACGACATGAACAAAGAGAAATATTAAATAGACGGTACGAAACATAAGATGAGCTCAGTGAGAATGCTTCTATCACCAAACTGCACTTTCCACTTATTTCGTGAAGTAAAATGGAGAAAGAAATGACAAATCTGTTTTTACGGTGTATTGTCATACGATATGATTTCGTTTTTATACATTCAGATCAATCTCAGCGTAATCCTGTCTAATGTGAAATATCAATACTAAATTTGTGCAGAGCGTTTTTCTGCATTATGATACCCACATCAAATCAAGAGTGCCCCTAGTCGAGACTCCTAATTAATCTCCCGCAGGAGTCCTGTCACGGGGCCCCGGCAGGATCCTCTGTGGAGTCATGGAGGATTTTTAAGGGATTCCTCAAGACTTCCATGGGAGTTCTATGGGATTCTTAAGGAAGTCCCTGGGGAGTTCTCGGGGATTTTCAAGAGAGTCCTTGGGGACTCCCTGTGGGTCTATTGATCCATCTTCTTAATTTCATGTAACTAATTAGTAATTAAGTGCCAGATACTATCACTGGTACCGCTGGATTACATATCACCCATCGAAGGTTGACACATTAATGTTGACTTACTAGAAGAAAATTTTATCATAGAACTACATTATATTTATATATTGCCTATCTGCAAAACAAACGGTGAACGGGGAGTTGGCAGGGACTCCTCGGGGATTGCACAGGTTGGGAAGTGTGAGGGTGACTCCCGGGGAGTACACATTTCTAGGGACTCTTGACAGACTTTCTCTTATGGGAGTCATAAGAAAAACATTCTGCTCTTTGAGAAGTTCTGTAGGAGTCCATGCATGACTTTCTCCAACAGGACTCCTGCAAGAATTTTTTGGGGACTCCTCATGTCTCCATGTTAGACTTTTTACTTTAGAAAGTTCCTGCGAGAGTCATCAGGACTTCTTACGATTCCTGCTGGAGTTTTTCATAAACTTGGGACTCCCGTTGGAGTTTTGCCGGAAGTCTCGACTAGGGGTTTATGTGATAAATGATGTGTTCATATTTTTAGTTCTCAAAATATTGTTTCTTGAGAAATGTGTTTGATCGGATTGTATTTTAGAGAAGAAATCAGTAAACGTTTAAAATCGAAAACTGAAGAAACAAGTGTATATAGTAAAGAAGAAGGTGAAATTGGAGATATTGAACATGCTGAAAATATTGACGGCAAACATGATGAAAATTTATTTGATAAACAATGGAGTAAATATTCAAATCATCGCCGATGCAATGAAAATAAAACTCACGATGATAACTCGAGATTGAACATCGACAATATCCACATCATATCCACATTGAAATCTCGTGATAAAAAATCATTACCAATAAACAATGATATTTATACTGAAGATAATAATAAAGATGATCAACTATCAAATAGGCGCCAGGCAAATATAATAAAGCAAAAAGAAACAGCTCATAATAAACCGCCACAAGTTTTACTCAAGATTCGAGAACGAAAACGAAAAATGGTAACATGATAAAGAGACAACGACTGATGTGAAAAAACTTGCTTATAAATCCTTCTAGAAGAAAAGTTAAAAAGTTCTGTGTTAAAACCAAAAGATATATTCTCGAGTAATCCAAGTGATAATGACAGAGAAGGTGGGATTTCAGAAGAATTTATTAGTTCAGCAGAAGATCTGACAAAAATAAAATTATCAAGATCTAAAATGGAAAAGTAAAATTCAAATGTAATAATATCTGATAGAATTATAAAATCGTTTGTTGGATCTAGATAGTGTCATGCTCCATTTTTTGCTGATATAGATAAAAGAGTATTTGTTCGAATCAATATTGGACAAAATGGTGATAGTCCGGTTTATCGTGTATGTATTTTTTTATAATCTATTGTATATATTTATCGATTTTTCTAGCAATTTATTGTTTGCTATTTTTAGATTGGAAAAATTCTTGATATTGTTGAAACAACAAAAGTCTATCAGCTTGGAAATATACGAACAAATAAAGAACTTCGATTAAAGTAAATATAAACGTTATTCAAGGATAGACAAACTAGAAGACAGTGTATTGACTGAATTCGTTTTAATATCATCTAAAAACGAATTTTACTTGCAAAAGAAACATTGCGAGATGACTTTTCAATCGTCTCGTTGATCTTTCTTATTTATTATTCTCGTCATTTTTTCTTCAAATTTAAGGTATGGTTCAAATGAAAGTATATTTCGCCTTGAATATGTCTCAGACAGTGAAATAAATGATAAAGAATTTAAACGATGGCGTGAAACATTAATTAAGCAGGTAAATGATGGTTAGAATTGCAAAGATTTCACTTACTGGGAGTGACCTATATTAATTAACCGTCTCTAAGAACGAATTATAAAAATAGAAAAAGTGTTCAGCCAGATTTCTGCTCGCTAGAACTGACCTTAATCTTGGTACATTAGTAAAATAGTTATGATAATTGTGAGAGAAATAAATTTTTACCATTTTTCTTTCTAGGGCATAAGTTTACCAACTATACATGATATTGAAAATAAACAAAAAGCGATTCAGAAATATACTAATTATTCCCTTAACGAAAAAGATATTGATCAAATGGTCGAAGAAAAACAACGTTTTCGTAAAACACCATTAACACATGAATTAGAAACTGAACGTAACAAAAAAAGAAGTGAAAGCATATCGGTTATTAGGTAAGACTGAAACAAAGTTTTTCTGATACCATTCAAAATTAATCATCATAAATCTCGATTTAATTCTTAACAGAAATAATTCAATTGAATTAGTTAAAAGAAAAAAGAATATGGATGAACACATAAGATCAATGTGAAAGATATATCATGCTACATCATGGTTCACCGATGATATTAAACATGTTATACAGATTTTTATTAATGACTTTATCCCCAAATATTTTTATTACATATTCGAACAAAATTCTTGAGAATTATGACAGACTGTTATGTAAATATGTTAGAATAAAATTTTAAGCAAAAAAATATTGAATCATTCAACGATAAAAAGTCGCGCACTGTGTAAAATAGGATCTTTGTACGTCATATTTTTCTCGTGTTTGATAATAGATACAAAAGTCAGATTTGCTTTAAAAACTGTACTCGACATCTAAATCTAAATTTTGATCGTGATAGTTTTTGAATTTATTCTCCATTTTTTTTGCCACTAATTACCTGAAAATTCAAAAATCATCAGCGGCAGAGTTCAAAGATCTACAATTTTATACAGAATGAAAGGGAATTTTCAAAAATTTTGCGGATCAGTCGCTCAATGTTCGATATTAGCTACCAAACAAAAAACGTTATTAGTACGCCTTTCACCATTGGGCAGAAAAAAGATACCGATCAATCTATGTCACTCGGTGACATAGATTGATCTAGACACTTTCTTTTGCTACTTTATCGCCTTTATATCTATCGAACGAAATGAAGGCATATATTGTGTAAAAAAAGAAAATCTGGAAAGTAATGTTGAACATCTTCGTAGTATTTCCTTGATCAAAACTCAGAGGGAGCTGTGAGATATGTCATTTTGTTAAGTAAACTTTTCCTCACAAAATGAGACAAAGGTGAACTCCTTACGGACAGATAGTAGTGACAACTCTATTAGAGAGAAAATCCGCTATTTAGCACTTAAAGAGTATTTGTAACTCTTTACTACGAGGTCACACACAGTTGCATTTTAACAGAAAGACGTTGCATTCAAAAAAAAATTGATCATATATTGATCTAAGGTAGCGTCCTTTTGAGGAATGCTGCGTTTGAACGCTTCTGAGAAACTTTCGTGAATACCTTCAAAGATATATCTGTAAGATCGAAATGATATTGATCTCTGAAAGTAGACAGTTTACGCAAAATGTAAAAATAAGTTTTTAATACAATGAATTTTTAGCACATGTTTTATATTACTTTTGTTTCTATCTCACTTCACCGTGTGTAAGGGAGTTTTTTTCGAAGAAGAAAAAAAGAATTGAAGAATGAAAAAAAAAGTGTTAAAAAAACTAAAAGAAAATTGATAAACAGCTAGCTATAGGAACAAAAATGATGAAGAATAAATAGAAGGGAACAGAACATACATAGTCAACCTTAAAGAACGAAGAGTAAGAAAAAAAAATAAGAGAAAATGTTTCTCTTCATTTTATTAAATCTCAATTAAGCGTTCCAGCTTGAGTTTTATCATTATTCGTCGTTCTATATCGTATCATTGTTTACTATCCATTATAGAACATACCCCTTGAGAAAATATAATGATCTACAGATAGAGGTGAGATCCAGATGAAAACGATGTAAAAATAATGAACGTTTTTTTTGTTATTAAAATGGGCGTACTATATTTTTCTTTGCTAATTCAAAAGTTAAGAGATTCAATTGTCCACAAACTATAGACTTTTTTTATATAACCTCTTTTTTTCGAAACCGCTGTGGACAAATTTGACCACAAGAAGCTATTGCCAGATGTGTGTATAGCATTTTCTGACAAAATTCGCAACAACACCTATCGATCACAATCAACTTGAATGAAAGAATATAATGTGCAGTACGGTGAGCGGACAAAGTAAAAGTGAGTCGAATAAGTAATGTCAATTGATTATGAATGATATGTATTGTTGTTATATCGTTCTGACACCAGATCGAGTCTATTAATTTACCTACCCCATTTCTTTTTACTTCAAATACGTTCAAAATTATTATTCGTCTAAAAAGTTGTATTATACAAATATAACCTTAAAGTGATCTAGATAGATATGCTTTTACATCTCAATGGAAGATGTTTGATGAAAAGATTTTAGAACCATTAAGAATTTATGTAACTGTGCATTTCCTAGATATAATCAGAAACGACGCAAAACAGAAAAGAATAAGTGTTATTATTTTGTTTCTGTATAATGAATGACAAGACAATAATCTAATTATCAATATATAGTTGATATAATGAATTAAACAAGGGTCGAATACTGAAACGAAATGTTTGATGACTTAATATGCGAAAAAATCATTATCGATTATTTTCGATTATAATATTTATTTCATCTGCTATTCTCATTTATTTTACATCATTATCTAAACAACAATACCACGAACAACAACGATATATTTCATTTTCAAATGATAATCACTTGGAATTTCCATTACCGACTCTAATAGTGGGTGAAATTCCTCGAATTGTTCACTTTATAACAGGACAAGGAGATAGTTCGAATGAACAGTTAAAGTTGTATGGGCCTATATTGCCTGGTGTCAAATTGAAACAGGCAAGAGAATTTGAATTAATTAATTATCTTTGTTTACTGGCAGCAAGATATATTTTAAAACCACATAAAATCTATGTTCATTATTATAAAGAACCAAAAAGTTACTGGTGGACAAAAGCAAAAAATGACAGTGATCTTAAATTAACATTAAGAAAAACACGTCAAATAACGTCGATCTATGGACATAAGCTATATCATCACGCTCATAGAGGTTCGTCATTCAATTTATCATTCGATTTTGATAGAACTAATTGAACGTGTACTTCGTTGATAGAGGCGTATTGAAGTATGCTAGTCTAGTTTGAAACAGTTGAATTACTCTAGAGTTTGAAACTGAACCAGTATGTATCGCTTTTTTAAATTTTTTTCCCACCAGGTTTTCATCAATTTCCAAAAATTTTATATCCACCTGTCCGGTACAGGTACAATTTTCCATACCAGTTTCAACTCTGAATTATCCCCAACGTTTTCGAATAGTTACAGATCATGTGTTCTTCGTACAGAAATTTTCCTATCGATTGGTAATAATCTATGTCTACAAGATGCTTTGCGAATTTTAAAATAGTTATACATTTGCACATAAGAACTTCCAAGGCAAATCCAAATTTCTGATATAATCCTCTAAAACACTTTTAATTCTGATTAGTCGATTTTAATTTTGATTTATATATTTTTTTTCTCCATATTCGCGTACAGGTGATATAATGAGATTAGAAGTATTACTAAAATATGGTGGAATCTACTTGGATTTAGACGTATTAGCATTAAACTCGTTTGATTCACTATTAAAAAATAAATTACAAAAACAAACAATATTGGGATATGAAAATGAAAATTACAATGCCGTATGTAACGCTGTTATACTCTCTATTCCTCGCAGTCAATTTTTAAGACGTCTCTATGAATCTTATCAAAGTTTAAATGCTACATGTTGGGCATGTCATAGTGTCATGTTAACTGGATATTTAGCGACAATTTATTCACAAGAAACTCTCGTCTTACCATCAGTTGCGTTTTATGAACCATCTTATTTGAATATTGAAGAATTGTATTACTTTGATACTTATGATTTTCGAAAAAATTATGCCTCTCATCTATGGAATTCATTTATCGGTGATGAGTTTTTGAAAAATTTAACATTAGATTATATTTTATATCCAAAACAATTAACAACACTGATAAAAATGATTCGTCATTCGATTGGTATTAAAAAGCTACAAAAAATCAACAAAGACTACAAAAGAAATCAGATTTTAAAAATAGAATAAAAATTATCATAGTTGAAATTAATCTGTCTCCGTTTAAATACCTGTCATTTATAGACTCAGTCATTGTTTTAGTCATAATTTTTGTTGACAAACATTAGTAAAAGAATTGTTACTTTTTTTGTAGTCATTTGTGTTGTGTATTTTCTACATAAAGACAGTTAATTTTCTATAACTGTTACATTTTGTTGATGTAGACATCGAATAGTACTATCAGTGAGCAATATAGTAATGAACCAGTTCGGAGGATATGCTGAATTATTTTTATATCAATTACTTGATAGTAGCTAGGGCTAAATTCGAGTGAATAACTATTGCAATTAGTATTTATAAAATAGTAGTTGTGAACATAATCATTTTCCACATCTAGATCACTAATCGTTGAAATGAAAGAACAACGTCTTGCATAAAATATACAGAGTTGAAGATGTTGAATCAGAGTTGAATGAATCAGAGTTGAATACTGGCGTGAATCTTTTTTTTAATGTATTTTTTCTTCTGTTTTAGTCAAATTAATTAACGAAATCGAATTAATTCTCAGAAAAACGTTGAATCCGCATTAATCGTAAGTAAAAATGTGTACCTTTTTTTTTCTCTTGATATACAAAACAAAAATGATTTCTATTTCATTAGAGAAATGCTCAAGAAAATCGTAATGCGAGACCTGATCCATTTACTCGACGTCGTTGTGAACAGATATTAGTCAATAAAGTAAATTTTAATTTATAAACGATGAAAAATTAGTTTTTTAACAAAGATGCTTGTTTGCTCTAAGGCTTCTTCAACAAAAGCTGATTTGATTCGAGAGTTACAAGAACGACGAGCAATCGATGAAACACGAAAAAAAAGTAGAAGAAACGAAATTGGTAAGAAAATAGATTACTATAGATAGATAAATTGATTAAATATTATATATCTCTCTTATACAGACTGATGCAATAGCTGATGTACAAATAGCATCAACATCATATTTAAATTCTAATAAGATAATATCAGTTAATTCTGCGACTACCATAACAACAACTATCAAAGGCGTAGTGGTAAGATTTACAGTTTTTTAATGCAAAATACTCTTTTGAATGGATAAAATAGTGTATGTATTCAATTTTATCTATACTTTCTAGATGCCGCCGAAGAGTATATCGACATTAATTGAACGTGGTTCATTTACATCATCTTTCAATGATGATATATTTACTTCACATGATTTTGAACTCGATGTTACAATCAAAATTCTACAAGACTAAATTAATTACTTATTTATATATTTATGGTATATATATATATGTGTGTGGTTTTTGTTTTATTATATATACACAATTTGAACAATTTGTTTAACACTATTTGAAAAAAAATGATAACAAATGTTTCTAGTCTTTTCACATTCTCTACGTCTTTTTTCGACTATTGTAAAATTAATATTTGTGTGTGTGCGTTTTTGAACACTTCTTTTATCTTTGTCGTTGTTTATATAAAAAAATATTTAAATTCTGTATTTCTTTTCGAAAAATATCTTGCAGTGTTGTACAACTGGCTCAAAAGGAGAGGAAAGATTTTTACTTGCTCACATAGTCATCTAAAGCTTTATTTATAATTATCCAGTATACTAAAAGTCGAATGCAGTACAATCGAAAATAATTAGCCTATTGTAAATTTGCTCCTTCTTACACATATACATATATAATTAATTGTAGAGAAATGAGTAGATTTTTCTAATATATACATTTTCAGATTTCATTTCTTATTATGGAATACTCTACCCATGTGTTAGTCCAGCAAGTACCAATAAGCGAACAGAATTTTGAAACAAAGTTAGTGTTATCGAACAAATATCGTGCGTTAATTGATATCATTTCCTTATCTGTTTAGGTTACAAGATGTATCTAATCAAATAACATCAAATGGTTATTCTTGTCCAACTGTATTTGCTCCATTAAACAATATTATTGTACAACAAGCCGCTATATCATCTAGTCATATTGCATTTTTATTACAAGTAAGCACTTAATTTAACTAGAGCAGTTGTCCATCTTTGTTATTGTTAGTAATGAGAAAGTATTATGTTTATTTAATATGTGCAACAATGTTAGGATACAATCTTTGTTTGATAGCCTATACTTGGCTAGCCGTTGTATCAGGATATTAATTCTGGCATATAAAGTGAACTGATTACTCATTTCGAACTAGAGAATTCGGAAAACATTCTGTACTGTCGAAATTTTTCGAAGAGTATTTTGTTTTACGTGATCTTCTATTTTAATTTTTTCCTTTAGGATGGACGAATTTGTCGTATTTCTTACCGTGTACTGGCTGATAAAATCGAACCAGTACCACCTGAAACTACGAAGAGGTTTGTTACTTTTTATCAATTTGATTAAAAACTTATATTTTTGATTTGTTTATGTATTTAGTAAACCAAAAATTATCCAACCTACTCGTCCACAATCACGTACATCAATCAGACCTGGTTTTGAACGACCAAGTTTTGAAAATTTAGTTTTATCATCCTCAGTTGCCGCTGCTCAAGCTTCAGGTACTACTGCTGTAACAACAAATTCGACTGCAGGACAGTCAGATATTATCCCACAATTACAAGCCGGATATCCACTGAGTCGACCGAGACATCATCTCATTCGAACAGCACGCGGTCGTACAGGAATTATATTTGGATCAAGACCGTTAATACCCGCATCCAGTGTACCAGAAGAATTAATTGAACAAGTAAACAATTTTTTTTTTGTTGTTGTTTCTGTTCATATTACTCTCATCACTAATCATCTTTTTTTTCTGTAGGTTCATGTTGTTTTACAAGGCAAATCTCGAAATGTTATCATTCGAGAATTACAACGAACAGTATGTATTTGTATATATATACTGAGTTGACCATTGTTCAAATTGATTTGTATTTGTAGAATCTCGATGTAAATATGGCTGTTAATAATTTATTAGCTCGAGACGACGAGGGAGATGACGATCTCGATGATGATTATGTTGGTGGTGAGTATACTGTTACCAAGAATTGAAGTAATTTATTAGATATATTAGAAAAACAAATTTATAAACTTTTTCCATTTATGGATTTTGATTTTGATTGTTTCAAATCGTGATTACTTGTTATTTTTTTTAATTTTAATAGCTGATTTGATTTCATTACTTGATGTTAATCCACACGGTGAATCTGGTATTATATTAGAATCAGAATTTTTTGATGAAGCAGATTTTGCATTACGTTACAATAATATACAACGGCGCGTATCAGCAAGAATAGGCAGTGGAAGTAAGTAAAAATGTTTGATACAATGATTAAATTTTCACAATCGAGTTATGGTGATGTTTCCAGGATTTTTTTTATGTGACAAGACAGAAATTTACTAATGGAAATAATTCTAGCAGTGAAGTTTATTTTCCTATTTAGTACAAAACAAAATTCATATTTTTGAATCAATGCAAAATAGTTTTAGTTTATAAGAGTCTAATAGGTTTTTTCCGTTTGCATTTTGAAAGAGTACAATTTATATCAAAATTTTTGCCAGTTGACGAGAAAAGTAAAGGTATTTAACTTAATTGATTTTGTCTTTAGATGGTTCTGGATCTAGTGCAGCTGCAGCTGCAGCAGTAGCTACTGCCATCGATGGTAGTTCCGGTTCTTTGTCCTCTTCGACAAATCCATCAACGGTTGTTGCCTCAGCACCATCCTCTACCTCAAATTCATCGGGTGAACGTAAACGAAGTCGCTACGATCCTCGGTGGTTAGATGGTTCATTGCGTGAAGAATTATTTGGTCGAATTGAGCGTGAATTAAAAGCAGATGATCTTTCAATCTCTAAAGAACAATTAACGAATGGTTCTCTTCCGTCTAAGACAACGAAACTACAACAACTGCCACAAGCACACCATCATCACTCTCATTCTAATAATTACAATCAACATTCATCAGTCTCATCGGCAACTTCACTTCAACAACAGCAACAACCTCAATCGATCAATTCTTCTGTGAATATTGTTCAACAAACAAATCCAATTACATTTGGAGATCAATTGGAATATTGGACTGATGGAGACAATAATTATCTTCATTTTACTCATATAGCCTGTCTTTATTCCGAATTAATTGCAATAAATATATCAGGTATAAAATATATATATTTTTTATCAACTTAAACTATCATCATTTCACATATTCATATTTTTCCTTTGTACACAGGTGAGCTATGTCAATGGCGGTGGATCGACGATTATCCATATCAAGATCCGGATAATTCTCAAATAAAACATCCGAAAACCTCTATGTTATTGTTAACAAATGAAAAATTAATCTCACTCTCTGCAAATATCATTCGTGCATCAGTATTAACGGAAACAAATAAAGTTGCTACATGGATCGATGAAACACTTGGACAACAAGTGAGCGTGAAATTACAACATCAAGCTCAAGAATTACCATTTTCGACACAACAACAAATAATTGAAATTCAAACATCACCATTATTTACAGTTGTTCGTACAGATTTAAATGAAATATATTGGTATGGCATTTTACCAACAAAACAACGTAAAAAGTTATTAGAACGAATTAAAGATAAAACAAGAAAACATCGTTCGACTAATGTACATTCTCATCATTTATCAACATTATCACAGCAAATAACACAAGGTTGTTCAGTCTGTCTAATATCAAATCCGTATTATAATCAAGGAGCATGGGGTTTTTATATCAAAGATGGGCAGCCAAAATTTGGTCAGCTGATGGAGCAAGCGTAAGTCATTCGATTAAAACTTCCGATCTGAATGATTAATGTTCTTGTTTTTTTTGCATATTAAGATGGGTATTGACAAATACAGCCAGATTCAAAATTAAAACACCAGACTCGTTTACAACAAGTTCGTCATTGGCGGCTGCTGTGGCACGTTTATCGGAATGTGATAAAAGTCAAGTGGAAATGCCACCACCACCATCACCGGCTTCTTCCACATGCAGTGTCGATTCATCAACCGGTTATAGTGGCTTAAGTATGCTTTGATCCATATTAGCTTTTTTTTTATAGCAAGTCGGTTATTTGCAAACACTACTGTTCAAATACGATACCTTTGAGATCAGGAAAAGGTAATTTTTATTATTTATATCAAATTTGTTGTTTTTATTTGTAGAACGCAGGAAACAAAGTACATCAGCAATTCCTCCATCATCTCAATCAACATCTACTCAACCTTTAATTAATAACGCATGTACCACTTCGGCATTAATTGATAATAGTAATGATGAGCATCAGAATAAAATAAAAGATGAAGAATATTGGCCTATTGAAGAAGTTGTATTTATTGAAGATTGTAAAGTAGCTCCAATTGGTAAAGTAATTAAAATCGATGGATCACTTGTACTTGTACGATTTCCATCTAAAATCAACACTCATCCTATACAAAATACAAATGAAATGTCAATGGAGACAAATACGAGTGAATTAGATAATTGTCGAATATTAAGAAAAGATGATCTACAAGTAAGCGTGTATAGAAAATATTGCATCTCATCTGATGTCTACGTATATTGTATCTTATTTCAGATTGTCAAAGGAAATATGACACCAAAAATACCTGATTGTTCATTATCCATAGCAAATTCCAAAAAAATATCACTTGAAAATGGTACATTATTGACATTTTCTATTGACAAAGATTGTAAGTATATTACACATTTGTTAGAGGAATTTATCTCTATGCAATTTCATAATTTTTGTTTATGAAAATTTATTAATATTATATTTTTAATTTTAGATTTGCATACGCTACAATTACGTGAAACAACTGTATATTATATCCAATATGAAATTGGCAGTAACAATGGACAATGTCGAAGTATTCGTCAAAATTTTTTACCATCTATAACAAATCGTCAATCGTTAATATCATTTCTTGGTAGTAATACAACAAATTTATCTACTGCAATCTCGTCATCATCACTTCGTTTACATACATTGAATACCAATGAAATTCCTCATGTACTACTAGATGGTAATAAAACATTTTATCCATTTGTCTATAATCAAGATTTAACAAATATCAAAGATCCACAATGGAAAAATTTATTGCCTTTAAATTATTTTCAACAACAAATTGTCCCAATTAAAAATGCTGATCATTTACCAAAAAGTCATATTATTCTGAGTATAATGCAAATACAAAAAGGATTATTGATTCCACACATTTTAAGGTAAAATAAATAAATAAATAAATAAAAGAAAATTTTTTATCGGTTTTTGTATGTTTGATCGTTAAACTAGTCTTTCTTTATCTTGTGTGACATTTTATTTTCTTGTTCAGATACGATTACGATAAAATTCGTTCCATTCTTAATGAAATTGAAACAACAAAAAATAAAGATTTATTAAAATTAATTTTAAATGAACGATTAGATGGATGTCGAAATATATTTCATGCATGTGTTGCGATTTGTGTACCATTATCAAATAAAGATTATTCAACAGTTGATACTCTTGATTTATTACAGCCTACTACACCTTTATCTACAACAACAGCGACTGCCTCTTATCCGTGGAATCCTGTTACAAATAATAACGAAAATAATAATAACTCGAAACGAATTTCATTTTCTATTGATCTTTTACATAATCAGACAATGAATACATCAACAACTTCGAATAATGATCATAATTATCAGGGAACAAGGACAAGAACAAATGAACGATCTGAAGTGAGCACATGGCCATCACCACTACCTCCATCACAAACAAACGAAACGGAGAATACTCAGCAACAATCATCAACAGTTTCTGCTCCCCCACAACAAGCACAAACGGCACCAAACTTTTACAGAGTAAGATAAACTTAACATCAACAGATCGCCTGTAAGGATACCTCTTCTCATTTTACAAAAAACATCGACTTTTGAGCTAATCATGCTATGTAATAGGAGTCTATTTTTAAGTTTCGAAAATTTTCTGTTTTCCATTTATTATTTGTAAATTTTTTTGAACAGTTAGCCTTATGGAACAAAGAGTTCTCTACAAAACGAGACGTTTTCCAGTTATCTAGGATGTTTCCCTCAAAAGTTATAAGTATTTTGTCAAGAGTCCTAGGAAGAATCATAAGGAGTACGGCTGGTTTTTGGGAGTCTCAAAATCGAAATCCAGTTTTTCACAAAATTTTCTTATTAGTCATCATATTGGAGAACTAAATCAAAAACTACTGGGGCATATTGGAGTCTTGTACCTGTGGTAAAAATCTGTACTCGAACGGACAACGTTTCGATGGGGTTGGTACGGTACACAATGAAAAATTTGCTTTTCTAGGAAAACATACTTAATTGTCAGTTCTAAGGTTTTGAGCAAAAAGTATGCCTGTTTTACTTTTTGCGAAGATACTCGAGTAAAAATTCTAACTCTACCCGATCAGCCGTTACGATTTTATAATAAGACAAGAAATGACGGCTGGAGCCTCCCTAATGGAGGGATTACGAACTCGTTCCCATACTTACACTTTCATAGAGGACTAAAATGACTATCCTCGGATTAATTATTTTTTTAAAATGGTCTCATCAAATTATTTGTGCAAGTCTTCTCAGACTCTAAGAGTAGAAGAGTGTTGGTTTTAATCCGAGTTTTGTTTTATTTTCAGAGTTTATCAGCTGGCAATCAGACAAATAGTACTAGTTCATTATCATCGTCCAGTAATACGAATACAAATACATTTTCTTCTAAATTTCAACAAATACAATATTTACAACATCAGTTTCAACAACAACAGCAAGCAATTGCTGCACTCGCAGCAACAAATGCCAATGGAAGTAATGGATCAGCTGTGGGAGGTTCTTCTCATTCGTCAGGATTATCTGCAACTACAAGTTCACAACCAGTGTTTGGACCCGTCATATATGCACAAAATACGTCATCATGTACGTTTTTTCTTTTGCTTTTATTGGAATTTATTTTTCAAGATTAAAACTCTTGTTTATTGTTTAGATCAACAAGGTAGTCGTTCATCTCGCACAACTACCGTTGATAATGAATATCAAATATGGTCATCAGTAAAGTACGATGAAAAAGAACGTCGTTTACGTTCAATTAAAATATTACATCTACTGCTCGATTTTCCATTATTTCAAGAATATTTAATTGATTTACTAAGTTTTCGTAATGTTGAAGGATCAACGCCATTTATGTCTGCTGTCAATTCTCGTGCTTACAATTGTGCATTAATTTTATTTGAGTATGCATCAAAATTAGCCAAAAAAGAATGTTTGACCAAAATTACTCAAGCAAATAGTTATGATCATGAACAACAACAACGAAACGAACAATTCTTTCTTGACAATACATCCACATCACCGCCATTATTTGAATCAACAATCAATTGTTTGAGTAAGTACAGGAATGACTTGAATGAAAATAATATATTTATGCAAGTTAGATAGGACAAGATAAAATTATATTTTTTTAATGAACAACACACATGAGTATTAATCCCTGATAGTATCTATATATTATCGATTATTTTGACTAAATTAATATAGTATCCTTTTCGGCGAAAGATATATAACTAAGTAAACGACAACATAGAAACATGTTTTTTTTTCAACATTTTTTGCTGGATCGTAATAACCGAAAAAAATTCGAAAAGTGATTTCAATAACTAAAACCAAGTTCAAGTTCTTCAAAAGCGTGGTTGCAAAACCAAGTTCATAGATTTCATTTGAAAACTCTTTGTACACAACTTAGTCGTATAGAACAAACTTTTCTAAACCAAAATGAGCCATCTTTGAGCTATCCACAATATTCTTATATCACACTGTATTTATTATACGAAAGGTCCCAGACGCATTTTTTATCGCTTTTCTGTTGATTTGCTGATTTTAATGGATTGTAACCTTTCATAAAGTACAGTGTGACATAACAATATTGTGGAGAGCTCGAAGATGACTCATTTTGTTCGGAAAACTTTTTTTTCTATACGACTAAGTTGTGTACAAAGAGTTTTCAAATGAAATCTTAGGAACTTGGCTTTCTAAAGTCCAGATTTCCTTCTCATATCGACAAATTTTAATGTAAGGTGCATCCACACCGCTTCTGTTTGAAAACTCTTTCAGCTATTGCAATCACTTTTCGGATTTGTTTCGGCTATTACGATCTAGCAAAAACCGTTGAAAAAAAAAGTTGTTTCTATGTACTCATTGCACATACTTCTATTATTTTTCGTGATACATCTCTAATTGATAATATATATATATATTATTCTATTTTCATTTTTAGATGTTTCAAGTATAAATCGTTCAGAATATCAATCAATATTAATGAAAATGATTTATCCATCTGATAGTACAAATTTCGATGATTCTCCATTATATACAATTTGCACAAATGATACATGTTCATTTACATGGACCGGTGAAGATCATATAAATCAAGATATATTTGAATGTAAAACATGTGGTCTACATGGTACTCTCTGTTGTTGTACAGAATGTGCTCAAACATGTCATAAAGGTCACGATTGTCGTCTTAAACGTACATCACCGACTGCCTATTGCGATTGTTGGGAAGTATGTAAATGCAAATCATTAATCAGTGGTGAACAATCAAAACGTTTAGAATTATTTAAACTTCTATTATTGGAAACAAATTTAGTACAAATGAAAAATAATCGTTATGAAAATATTTTACTTTATTTAACACAAACAGTTGGTAGACAAATTATTGAACAACAACAATTTGGTAAAAATACACAATCAACTCAACAGCAATTACAACAGACCATTCAACAAGCAAAACAACAGCGAGCAACTGGTGGAGTATCTGCACAAACAAAAAAATTAACACATACACAACAATTGAATGGATCAGCGAACAATATAAATAATTCTCAAACGGATACTAATGATGGGCAGGGACAATTAACAATCATTATACCCGATCATGATCTTGAACCATCACAATTTTGTAAGTAGTCATAATTACTGTGAATGAAAATACTTTATATTTCACTTTTTTATACTCAGGTCGTCGTGCATTAGAATTAATATTAGCTGATTGGTATGGTGTTAAATCAATGTTACTAAGTGGTTGTAAAAGTGATGATCCAAGTACAAAAAAAGTGTCGGTTCAACAACAGCAGCCATTACCCTCATCATCATTATTATCTTATAATAATGAATCGTTATTTTCTCTTGATCAACAACAATTAACAACTCAGTTAGATCGTTTTACTTATTTTCTATTGGCAAAATGTAATATTAAACAAGGAAGTACAATTACGACAAAAAATCAACAATCATCACAAAATCAAAATGATATGATTGATATTTTATTGCAAACATTATTAAAAGAAATGGCAAATCCTGTTAATAAACAATTAGCAAAATATGCTGCAGCCAGATTTGTAAGAAGTGTTTTGAGATTATTTGTCACATTGACTATTGAATCTCAACCAGATAAATCAATATCAACATCTGGAATATCTACAACAAATAGTAGCAATATCAGTGGTACAAATGGAGGATTAAGACGTTTCATTTCAACAACAACCGTGAATGGAACAACAATCACAGGAACAGGCACATGTTATCCACAATCACACACAACAACATCATCGATGATTATTCAACATTGTAAAAGAATATTTCATACCTTAATTAAAATATCGATTAGAGAATTGGCCAGTATGGCTGAAGCATTAATAGCACCGGTTAGATATGGATGTGCAAAACCAACAGCATATTTTCAACTTGTTTCAACAACTACAGACGCTATACAGGTAAAAAATAAACATTTTATTTCATTTAAGAGATTTTTAGACGCTAGAGTACAAAAATACTAGTACACTCACTCTTATCCTTCAGTAGTGGAAGCAACAAAATGATTATATCTTGAAATAGTAGAACAATTTAAAGAGCATTCTCTTTTAGAGTGTATTTATTTGAATCATAAAAATAAATTAATAAATCTCGATATGTATTAAAACAAATTTTGAAATCTTAATGTCGGTGTACCCCATTATTGATATATATATCTATTTAAGAAAATTTTTCTTTGATCATTGTTTCTCTAGTTCTCTAGATTATCTATAATCATATAAATTTGTTAGTTAGATGATTTTTCATGACACGAAAAACTTTTTGCATATAAGAAAACAAACAGCATCTATTTTCATCATCCTGTATCTTGTACAAAACTAGAGATATTGTTGTAAAAGATAAAATCAAAAAGGCAAACATTACTAGACATAAATTATATTCAAATTTGTTAAATGTTTTTTTTATAATAGAAATAAATTCAATCAGACTTTTGTTCTCTAATAGTTCCATATATTTTTTAAATCAAATGTTTTAAATCGTACAAAAAGTGCCATGTAACTAATATAAATATATATTCCAATGTAGAAGAAAGCAGAAAAGAATAGAAATATAGCAAATGCAAATTGAGTCTGTATTAACGAATCTTTAAGTGGAAAAGTTTTTATTGCAAGTTGAAAACCATCATTATGAAAATTGTAATATGCACTCCATTTTTTAACGAAATGACCATCGATAATGAGGATAATCATGCAAAAAACCATTAAAACAAATTGACCAATCAACGCATATGTTGACCATGATCTCGAAAATTGTTTACGAAAGACTATGAAAAACAAATAGAAATATAGAAATAATTAGAAGAAAATTGATTATTTTGTATTCTTACGTAAAATAAAAACGAGTGCAATAGAAATTAAAAATGGAATTGTCGACCATATTCCACAACCGGTAGGTTCATAAGCCGGATTTCTGGATACGCGTAAACTCGCGATTTCTACAGAAAATATGATTATGGTCATTAATGTCTGACTTATAGCTAATATTAGTACGGGTAAATATAGAAAATTTTTTCTCCAACTGTGAGAACGTTCGGCAATGATTAAGGCTCTTTCTCTTTCTAATTGTTCAATTTGGTCTCGTTGTGCTTGGGTTAGCCTTTTCTGGGTGGCCATTTCTCACCTTAAATAAAAAAATAAAAAAAAAATTCTTCTAACTAGAAGATCTTGGCGAGTAAGAGCAAAGAAACATATAAATATAAACAATAATATATCAGTCTATTTTGCAAATATTACACATACAGCATGCAGTTAGATTGACTCACCTAATATTTATTTCAGGTGTATTTTACCTGTGTAAAAAATCAATATCTTTCAAAACAATCAATATAAATTTTGTTTTCGGCAATGAGTTTGAAAAATATGTATATTTTTGAGGATTAATTACCTGAACAAATTATCTGCTTGGATGAATTCTGTTAATGAGTATGATTATTTATTCACTCAATTTTTACATTAAATGTGTTCGAAGAAAATTAAACATATTGTTATAAATTAGAAGCAATAGTCCTAAATAGAATGAAAAATTAAATACAAACGATGACCATAGATAAACTTTGTTAATACTGAAAAGTTACACTGTTGTACTCACAACATCTATAGTATGTTCTATTGTAAAAAAAATAATAATTTGAATTGGAAGTTGTAAGAAACGTGTAGAAATATGATTTGTCTCGCAGATACCTTGAAATTCAGATATTTTTGGTTGTATTGTTGCTCAGAAGCATAGATAATTTTTTTGATTTTGATATGAAAAACAGAATAAATACCAAAAGCCTTGTATAAATCTACGTGTTTGTATGAGAGTATTTCTATAAGATACAAATGTTTATTTTTTGTTCCAATCAGACAATGGAATTCTTATCAAATTAGTTCGATTCCGTCATAAAGATTTTTTCATAGCCCAGATCAGAACTCACCCAATTTTATTTCAAATTAAAATCATCTGTCAATATTCGATTTTCAAGACATTATTCAAAATATTCAAGAAGTCTACTTATTTCTTAGTTGATTTTTAGGAACTATGAGTTTTTCCGTTCTACTTTGATACACAGTCTCTGGTGGTTGACCGCTGAGAAAAGGACATAACAATATTAAAAATTTTGATTTAAAAATGATTCTTAATTAGTAAAACGTTAGAGTGAGAGAAAGAAAGAGAAAATTTTCTGACTAGTTTAAAAGATGTTAGTATTAAGTGTAATAATCTTAGATTTTATTATAGATTCAATATTTAGTTTGTATGAGTTAAAGTTACACAAGAAAGTCTATAACAGATTGTGCTCTATTCTGTATAAAATTTAGAACGTTATTTTGTGCCAGTTCTATTCTTTCTCTGTTTTAGAGCTTAGAAGAAGTATTCAATGTTGATTCTCAATATTACCGCGCTTATCAAGAAAACAATTTATCAAATGTGAACGCCGTGTCCTCATCTAATGGTGTTGGAAATATAAATAATGTACGACGAACATTATCTTCGACATCAACAATGGGTGTTGGATCAGCCACAGTGACAACTACAACTGCTGCTCCAACAATAATTACAACATCGTACGATAGACGGTAAAAAGTCGATTAGAAATCGATATATTTTAACAGTTCTAGATTGATAGAATTTATTTCTCTTTAGATCACGTGATTCACGTCCAGGTGTTTCAAATGATGATAATTATGCGGATATTGTTGAACAAGATTTAGACAATGATTTAGAAACGGGTGTCGGAGCAGTAGATGATGATGATTCCGATACACAATCTCAACACGGTGGAACCGATCGAATACCAACTGGGACAGGTAGCAGTGGAACACGTGATGGAGGTACAGGTGTTTTAAGTGATAATGAATCTGAAATGGAACTAGAATTATTAGCTGAATCCGATACAGACAATGAAAGTAACAGAAGTGCAATATTATCGAACGCACAACGTACATCTGCAACAGCTGGAAGTGATCCTGGTATGACTTTATTTTCTGGTAGGAGAAGTTTTATTTAAACATATATATATATATATATGTATCATGCCTAACATTCCTCCTCAATAGATAGTAATGAGCGAACCTTAGAAACGGTGGGCAGAAGAGTAAGACTTTTGAAAACGAGCGTATGTACTAGGAAACAATGTCTACTACTCAACTCTAATAAAAAAATAAAACATTTCTGTTTTTTTTTCATACATTCCGTCTATGAAAACTTAAAATAATTTCTATCTAGATGACGATAGTGGAGAATCGACAAATGATGATGCTGATAGTGTTCGAAGTGACAGCGTATTAGATGAAACAAGCCAACAAGAATTAATGTCGTTTGACGATAATCGAGATCAAATGAGTACTACAACAACTATAGGTGAACGTATGTCAAGTCAACAGCCTCCAACGCTCACAGGAACAACGACCACAACGGTTCCCACACCGGCTTACCAAACAAGTAATACAACTTCAACACGTTTAACAACAACTACTCGTACACAAGGTAAATATAGACATATACGTAATATACTTAAATATATGCCCAAGGTAGATTAAACGCATTTTATCCAAATAATTATTAGCTAGTATTTTCTTGAAAATAGTTGAATGATCAGTTTTACCTTTCTCAATAGCTTCACTATTTGGTGAAACACATCTTCGCCGTCAAATTCAACCACTGAATGCATCAACCGGTCAACAACAACAACAACAACAAACGATCCAGCAGTCATCTCATCAACATCAGTCTCAGCAACAGCAACAACAAAACAACATTTCATCCACAAATACAACGAATGTAATGTTAGCTCGAGCATTTTCGATTTTAATTAAACAAATGACAGATCTTTTACTTAAATGGACGGCATCATCAGCCACATGTGAAACATTTTCTCCGTTATATCACGATATTATACCAGACAATTCAACACAGTTGAATACAGATTCAACCGATACAATAAATATGATTCAGGTAAAATATTCTGTTGACAACTCAAGCTCATTTAATGCTCAAACAATGACTTACGGACATAATGTTATTTCGATTCTGTCTAAATCATAAGAAATTGTTCAAGATATCTCTATAAAGATTTTACAAGTAATATGTTCTTGTTTTAGACTGAATTAGAGCAAAAGTTATTACCGACGTGGCAATGGTTTTGTACAATAATGGATTCGTTTGAATCTCAAATAAGATTTGGAGTATCGTTGAGCAATCTTCTTTCAAATGAAACAGACACAACAATACAAGGAAATCGATTTCTAAAAACGATAATTGAACGAGCACAAGTTGAAACAAAAAAGAAAACAATAACAAATCGCTTAAACGTAAATCCACAACCAACAGGTCATAATTAGTTTTGATTAGTAGTTGCTTTTTTTTGCCGACCATTGGATCTTGCAAATACTTCAAGAGAGTTTACACGAAAGAACATTAGAATGAACCTGCGCGTAACATTTGATGATGAAAAAAATCCCGCCTCACTGAAATCTATATGTTTCATGTAAACCATTAAATTACTAAAAGTTGTTTAATTTTCATTTCAGAACCCGTTATCAGTAGTCGTCGAGATTCTCTTAATTATGTATTTTCATTAATGCGTATGCCTGAAAATGAACATGGTGATCAAATACCAATTATAGATGTTCTCTCCTATAAACATATTGCTTATATATTTGACTCATTTATTTATTATCTGAAAGAAAGTCAAGAACAGGATTCTTCAACATTTAAAACATTACAATATCAAACATACAACAGAAGAGATATTGATGATCGAATTACAAATGAATCAAATACGGAAGATACAAGTGCGTCTTAATGTTCTTTATGAAATCATGATAAAATCAGATCTAACCTCATTCTCTTAACTTTAGATGATGATCATTCAGATACTCCAACTACACTATTTCATGATCAATTTTTCCATCGTTCCAATTCAACACTTTGTCTTGGCTCATTAGCACCCGATCCATTTTTAACACCAATCGATGATTCATTACCGTTAGCTTGTCGTCCACAATTGTTACAGCCCGTATGTCGAAAAGAAGATTTATTTGGACGATTTTTGTATGAGAATGCTGCTCAACGTTATGCACAATTATCAAATCGTCTCGGACTATCGGATCGTCAAGATTCTATACCAAATTTCATACAGCCAAATTATTCAAAAGGATTTAAACAACAAAGTCAAGATGGTAAGATCTGTTTAATTTTTAAATTCACGAAAAATCATGAATAATTAATGCAAGTTTCTTCTTTTTGATTTTAGACAGTGAAATACCAAGTAATAAACCGGCAAAAACGCAACAACGAGATGATGATCGTAAGTTTTTGACGTTATAAAGTTGAATTAAGAAGTTTCAATTGCCAAGTTCAACCTAATTAAATTCAAATTTAACTGATTTTTATTTAGGTATGGCTGTTGATGTTTTGCTTGATTTAAGTTCTGGTTTGAGTATCACCAGTAAACAACAACTGAATATGCCAACAAACAACAGGTTAGTGTTAATTTTATTTACTATACTTCTATGTTTAACATATGTTTATCATATATTTTAGACAATTTTCAACATTACCGATGACACTACCTACAATATCAACTCTACCCACTGGCTCTTATGAATATCTAATGACTAGATGGCGTTATAGTCTTGATTTATTTGTAAAATTATTTATTGATGATATTGGAGCTGAGCCAGGATCAATTATATATGAATCCGGTGGATTTCAAGCACGTGAACAACGTTTTAGACACGATATGGAACGTTTGAAAAATTTACATCAGAAAGATATTCGATTTGAATCCATGGAACGTGATCGTACATTACTCATCCAAAAAACATTTCGTACATTAAATTCTCATTACTATCGAACTCAAAATATAAATCCATCATCGACAACACCTCCATTAGCTGTCCAACGAGTGAAAGTGACATTTAAGGATGAACCAGGCGAAGGAAGTGGAGTAGCAAGAAGTTTTTATGCAGCTATTATTGAGGTAATGAATTTAAAATACAGCCTAAACAGAACTATCTCTTGAATATCTGTAACTCTTATAGGCGATATTATCGGATGAAAAATTACCACATTTGGAAATTGGCTCGGCATCGGCTGCCACTGCTTCTCAATCAACACATCAACGTCAACAACGTTCAAGAGAAAGTCGTACATTAGCAACCTATTTACGTCGTTCAATGTTACTCTCACCTGATGCTCGTTCATTCAAACCAATTTTATCACCGTCAGGTTCCCTAGTCTCATCAACTTCCAATACAGTCGGAAATCCAACAATAACTTCAACAACAGATTCTACTAGCTCAAATGAATCGTCTGCTGATCACTGGACACCGAGTAAAATTAAAATTGGTTTAGCAATTTATCCAAAAGTAGCTGCTATACAACCGGTACGTTTTACTCTCTTTGAATATTTTCAACATTTATGCTATATTAATAAACTTTTCTAGTTTCATGCTGAAAAAATAACTGGTATGCTACTAGAAGGTTTACCAACACCACAGTTACAACGGATAAGTTCAAGTTCAAACGACGATGATTTAAGAGTAAAGATTGAAGAAGCAATGAATGTATTGGCATTAAATAGTATACGGTAAAATGCAACGAAGATCATTGGATAATAAATCTTTATTTTTATTTAAATATTTAGAGAAACACCAATAGAGTCGACATCGTCATTGTCCACTAAACAATCTCAACAACAACAACAACAACAATCGTTGTCACCTCAACCACAACAAACAACGTTTGATAAACGTTTAGATGAGTATGCACCATTATTTTGGCAACCGGATAAAAAAGAATTTTATGCACCAAGACCGGGAAAATATACAACAGAACGATTAACAGCTTATAGAAATGCCGGAAGGTAAAATCATTTGTTAACAAAACGATAATAGAGACGATTTTTACACTCCAACAGAAAATGGGATGAGTGGTTTTATGTGACTAAATACGCAGTTATCTCTCATTTCGTGCACGATATTCGTCTAGATATATCAGTGTTTAAGTTTTTATTTCTATTATAGATTAATTGGTTTATGTTTACTTCAAAATGAATTACTTCCATTACCAATGTGTCGTCATGTCATTAAATATATTTTAAATCGTCCCATCCGTTGGCATGATTTAGCCTTTTTCGACTCATCTATCTATGAAAATTTACGTCGTGCAGCATATGATGCTGAGAAAACAAATGGACATAGTGTGAAAGATTTACATTTAACATTTTCTTTAACTTGTACAGATAAAGAAGTAAGAAATAATAAATAGTCTTATAACTAAAATAAACTATTTATCCATTATTTCTCATTCATAGGGCGGTGAAACATACGATCTTATTACTAACGGATCATCAAAAGATGTAACTTATTCAAATCTATATGATTTTATTAAACATTATGCTGAATTCAGAATGGTTAAATTAGTTGAACAATCACTTCATGTAAGCAAATTATGTTTGAACGGATTCATGTATTTTATATCCTTATAGTGTTTTAGTATTGAAAGGAGCTTTTTAGTTTCTGAAATGATGCATTTTATATATTTATAATCAATAAGGATCTTTAGCAACCTTTATTCATTTATTTTTCCATTAGGATATGGTACTCTAAGAGTGTACTATTTTTATTTTTCAGAACATTCGATTGGGTGTATTCGATGTAATACCATCAAATGTGTTGGATGGTTTAAGTGCAGAAGATTTTCGTCTATTATTAAATGGAAGTGGAAGTATAAATATAAAAACATTGATGAATTATACAACATTCAATGATGAAAGTGGTAAGTTTGTGTTGAACAGTGAACAAATTTTATAGAAAATTAATGCTCTCTTTCTCTTCTATGCTCTAGGTGAAGCTGGTGATCGAATTACTCAATTTAAAAAATGGTTTTGGTCTGTACTAGAAAAATTTGGAACGGTTGAAAAACAAGATCTGGTAAGATGATTATATGTACATTTCATAGACGTTATTTGATCACACTCTTAAAGTATCATTGCTCTTTTAGAATGAAATTGTGTTTCTTTTGTTTTAGGTATATTTTTGGACTGGTAGTCCGGCATTGCCTGCCTCTGAAGGTGGTTTTCAACCCATGCCATCTGTAACAATTCGTCCATCTGATGATCAACATTTACCAACAGCTAATACATGTATTAGTCGTTTATATGTTCCGTTATATTCATCAAAAACAATATTAAAAACTAAATTACTTTATGCAATTAAAACCAAACAATTTGGCTTTGTATGAGATGTTTAGATTACTTTTTTTATTTATTTTTTTTTTGATGTATTATTTATATATCGCCACAGTATTTGTTTTTCTTATTTTTTCTGCATAATAAATTAAATAAATCAATTGTATGGTTCGTTATTCTTTTTATAATATGTGTTTGTGCATGTGTTTATTCCTATAAGAAATTTGTGAAAAAGTCATTTTTTATATATAAACATAAGCTAAAATGAATTTATTTTTCATGCTATTGGTAATGTTTTTGATCGTTTCTTCCTTCTTTTTTTTTTTTATATTTCTACACGTAGAGCGCGTTGTACATAAAACAATTGTTTGTTAAATCTGTTCATCATTGTATTTGAAGAAGGATTTTTCTTTTATTGTTGTGTTACTGTGTAAAAACACGTTATTTTCTTTTTCTTTGTCTTAGTACATTTGTTATAGTTAAAATATAAGGAGACACAAAAATAAACTACAGATGGATAATCTCTTCTTTACTTGAACGAAGAAAAGATGAAAGATAAGTGTGAAAACATTTGAATAATTTCGGAAATAATACCTTGTCTCAGAATATCGCAAATAGAATCTTATGTTTGTCTTGTAATTGTAAAATTGTAGTAATTTTAACTATACATTCTGTAATTGTATAATTAATATATTATATGATGAGAATATATTGAGAATGTTGTAGTCATATGGTGAATTTCATTTAGCTTTTCAAATGTATTCAACTTTAGTTAACCGGTGAAGTAAGGATTGAATGAATCGTAGTTCGATCAAATTGACAAGATGTTGAAGTAGATATACTATTAGTAAAACAAAATTCTATGTTAAAAAATAATCTGCGAGTACTTTTAATGTTATTATAGAAAATTGTAAAAAAATATGTCTATGATTTTTGTATATTTTAGATTTTGCTAAAAAAATGCCTGGTTTAGATGATGTTCAGCGTGTAATTGTTGTGTTGTCGGGCAAAGGAGGCGTGGGTAAATAGATTTATAATATTTATTTAAGACATCTATTCCCTCGGAAGTAAATATCACTTTGTCATTTTGAGTGTTTCAAAATCATATAATTTCTAATCAGTTTTTCACAGATGAACATAACAAAATGATTTTGTATAAAATTAGATTCTCACTTTTATGAGTTAAAAAACATAACTCTATAATTTTGAACTCATGTAGATGAGATTCGAATAATTTCTATAGAATTAATATACTACCATATATATTTCTCTTAAAATAGAACACCATCTTTAATATTTTAGGAAAATCGACTGTATCCGTTCAATTATCATTATGTTTAAAAAATCTTGGCTATCGTGTTGGTTTACTTGATGTTGATTTATGTGGTCCATCGATTCCACGAATGTTTGGTTTAGAAACAACATCGAAAAATATTGTTTATGAGTCTGAACAAGGTTGGACACCAATTTATATAGACGAAAGTAAAACATTTTGTATAATGTCAATTGGATTTTTACTTGAAAATTTGAATGATGCTATTATATGGCGAGGTCCAAGAAAAATGGCAATGATTCAACGTTTAATAACTGGTGTTAATTGGTCTAATTTAGATTATTTAATTATAGATACACCACCAGGTACATCGGATGAACATATAACAGTAATGAATATATTAAAACAAGCAAATAGTGAAAAAACGAAAGATTATTTACGTTCAGTATTAGTAACAACTCCACAAATGTTATCTGTAAATGATGTTCGACGTGAAATAACATTTTGTAATAAAACTGGTTTTCATATATTGGGTATAATTGAAAATATGAGCGGTTATATTTGTCCACATTGTACAGAATGCACTAATTTATTTGCTAAAGGTGGTGGACAATTATTAGCACAAGAATATAGTTTACCATTTTTAGGCATGATACCCATTGATAATCAATTAAATTCAATACTTGATTCAGGAATATATTCAAATAAAGAAAATAATCAAGAAAAACAATTTTTTGAAACAGAAGCAGTAAAACTAATTTCAATAATGGTGAAACAGATAATTGAACAATGGTAATAACACTATTAAACATCTTATGTTCATCTATATCGTTTAATTTTTATTGTTTTTGTTAATAAATCTATAACGTTGTTATTCTGTTAAATTTTTGTCTTATTTTTATCTTTTTAAACTATTTGAAATTATTCACAAATCATCCGGTCATACGGTAGAGTTGATGTACAGAGAATTTCGTTAAAACAAACATATAAATAGCAGCGATGACTCATCAATTGAATTTTTCACAGAGAAAAAAAAATCACTCTAGTCTAAGTACTTTTTATAGAAAAAAATACTTTTATGATTTGTTATTTACTTAATGATGTTCAATTTGATGCTGTATTAATTTATTAATTTAGATAAAAATTATGCCAAAAGATTATCGACGCGCTTACAATATAATTGATTTATTAGGTATAGATGAAATATAAAATTATCTTTTCTTTTTGATTTATCGTTTTTTTTTTTCGTCTGCTTCTTCTAATTTAAGATGAAAAAAATGATGACTGGATTTCGAAAAGTATTTATTTAGCAATTGATAATAAAGATGTATCAAAAACAAAATTTGTTATCAAAGTTATTGATCTTGATAAAATGACAAATTTTACCAAATATATTGTGAGTAATACACAAATAAATATAATTTTCTTTCGTTCTATGTAATTATTTTAGTCTAATTTAGAAAGAAATATCCTGGTATGGACAATTATCACACATAAATTTAATGTCAATGAGAGAATGTTTTATAATTGATTCAAAATTATATTTTATTAAAACTTATGCACAATTTGGTATGTTTATTTATTTTTTCTAATCAAATTATTTAAATATGTCGTTTTTTCTCTTAAAGGTTCATGTCGTGATATTTTACATTCAAATCCATTTGGTATTAGAGAAAATCTAATTGCAATAATTATGTGGCAAGTTGTACAAGCACTTCGTTATTTGAAAGATAAACATATTATGCATCGGTACGTAATAATATTTTGAAATTGGAAGAATGGTTATCAATATTGTTTTCTGTTTTCACTTAAAATACTAACTAGTCCATAGATACTCAAGACAGTCAGATGTTGTAAAATAATTCCTCTGTTTCTTTCATCATTTGTCTAATTTTCTTGAACATTTCAAGAGTTGATTGATAGACGTTTTTATTTGAAATTGAACAGTAAACCGAGAAATAAGAGTAAAACATGTGTATCTGTTTGTTTTAGTTCTGTGGCAACAAAAAATATCTATATCTGTGATGATGGTCGCGTAGTGTTGGATCATTTTTGTCACTGTATTTCAATGATGTCTGATGGTAAATTACGTCGTCAAATTTATGATTATGATGATAATTTAAAAGAGGAAATATTATATTTGGCACCAGAAATTATATTCCAGGTAAGTCGTAGAAAATATGAAGTTAGTTAGTTCGTAATTTTTTTTTTTTATTTATTTTTTATTAGAATACTGATGGTTATAATGTGAAGAGTGATGTTTATAGTTTGGGTGTTACAGCATGTGAATTGGCCAATGGTACGCATAGTTATGCAAATTTAGATTATACCCATGTATGTATGAAACATAGTAGAAGAAAATAAATGACATTTTTCTCTATTCATTTTAAGATACTATTAATTAAAGCTCAAGGTGTTCAACCCTATTTATTAGACCAAACACAAGTTTCTACTGAGAGTAAGCAATTTATGCACTAAATATAATGGATACTATGTTTTAAGTTTTGTTTAGTGCTTGAACAATCAGATACACAAACTGAGCCATTTTTAAATGAAATAAAAAAACGACGGTATTCAAAAGATTTTCATTCATTTGTGGCATGTTGCGTGGCCACTTGTGTGAATTATAGGTATGTTATCAGTATACTGTTGATATATATATAAGATGCACGGGAAGCAGACTTCAAGTGAAATTATTATTTTATTATTAATATTATTTTATTTTTCGACGTTTTACACACCATTCGATAGAGAATTGTGCGCTGATCATGAACGTGCGCGCTTCGCTTTTTCTGGAGACTTTTTACCGGTCCAAAAATTAAAAAAACTCGGAAGTTGTCACAACCCCCAAAACTACAAGGTTTCAAAAAAAATAACCGTAACTTTTTCGGAAACAAAGTTTTTCGTGTCCGAAACCGACACGGTTCAAAAACGCCACATAAACTTTGTAGACCTAACACAGGGTTTTGTAGAGGTCATAGAGCCAATATTTTTACATGGCTAGATCTGCTAGATGCTGAACTTCAAACAACAAAGAGTTTTTTTTAAATTTGGTTTCCTCGCTGAGAAAATTCATTTTTTCTAAATCAGAGGTGAAAAAGTCGGAATTCTCAATATTCTTCAACAGAACTCAATTTCTATGGAATAAAAATATCATATTTGGAATCTGGATCAAAAAACGAATCGACTGATGTGTATTTCGAAGTTTCTAGTTCATTTTTATTTTTTGGTGACAATTCGAATAAACTTAGTCTGACAGGATAGAGATACATATCACTCGATG